GAAAGACATCATCTATAATAAAGCGTTTCAAATGTTACACGTGCTTCCGCCAGTCAGGTCAGCGAGTATCTGAATGTGTTGATAGCATGGCCAGATATGGCCGTAGTTTGGAAGATTGAGAGATAGGCTCGTTTGTGGAGGAGTGGACGACCACATTCAATGTTGACTGATCTGAATTATAAGAAAGCTCTTGACACTGCACAAGGCATAGAACTGAGCCCTGCCAAAATTATAACAGTCAGGAAAGCACTCAATTATTATAAAGAAACAGGACCGTGACAACAGTCCCTTTAAGAAATGGAAATGGGGGAATCTGGAACATGATCACACCTTACAAGTCAGGTACACAAAACCATTGTAACCAAGAGAAATCGTACAAAATGCCAATAAAAAAACGTTGTGTGAGATTTTGTGCCAGCCATGCCGTCGCACAGGACGGAAACTGTTGAATGTACCAAATCTTTGTAATGTATCCATTTTCTAATTCCGTTATATTCTTGCAACGATATTCTTCCCATGCATATTCTAAAAGTATAGAGCCACTGTATCTCTCAAAGTAGGAGAAAATGATACACAGTGAAATACTTGAATTCTGCTTTGTTTACATTTCAAACAAGTGCAAGTTCAGTTTTCACATCTAATATATTTCGCTTGAGTTCATCTAGACAGTTTGTTTTGGTAACAAAGACCATTTATCATTTGATTTCATAATGTATGAGAAATTCAGGGATGTATATGGTGGAGGATTACCTCGGCGTTAGTGTTTGCGTATTTTCCAAAACATTCTAAACATTTGCAGGGTTTACAATAATCATTGGTGATTTGATATAGCCGATATGCTATTTTTGAAATTCAATTCTCCGAGTAAATATCCGATATTTTGAATTCAAAACATGCACTAATTAACGCCGTGAAAGAGGGCAGAAGGAGGGACATATTTGTCCCTTTGGCATCGAGAACGTAACGTGAATATGCAAACAAGTGTTTAATTAAATCTTGAGTGAAAAAGAAATGTTAATTTATTGTCCTCACGACCGTGGTAAGCATTGCAGGGACTAGAGAATGGTTCCACTCGGAGATTCCCCATGAAAAGTAGCACTTTATAAACATCACTATTTGAAGTTGGTTAAAAAATGAACGGGTCATCTGATCAGCAAATAAACCAATCAAATCATTCGAAATCCATTGAACTTCAAAAATAAATTTATTCATAATTGTTCGGTCAACGTCAACTGAGCCATCATTACAGCCATTCATCAGAAAGAGCTGATGAGATGATCACTCATGGTGGAATCGTACTGTTGGGATCCTGAGCGGTGATTCACCCGAAGGGAGGGTCTTATGAACTTGCAATGCTTCATGACTGACAGCCAGGCATGATCAAACTGAAGATGCTCGGCGGAAGTTATTGAAGTTTCAGTTCAACAGTGTAACATGAACCAGATCAATGCAGACCAGCTGTGCCGATGCATCCATTTGAATACCCAAGGGGTCCCTGGAAGCACATACATATAGACCCACCGGGACCATTCATGAAAGGAATGTTCCTGATATTTGTGACACATTCTCGTTGTTGATAGACGTCCAAATGACTTCATCTATATCGTCACCAGTCACAAGACGTTCTACACAGAGATTATCGGTGACTTGTCTTGGACAACAGAGGGTCATATACAAGTCAGAAACGCAAGCATTTTAACTAAATGAGTTGCAACCACAGATCAAACAGACTCGCAAGAACGCTCCGTGGAAACATACAAAGACAGCATGAAGAAAACTGAAGGGAAAACCATAGAAGCCGTGATAGTGTGTACATTAAGTCCCCAGTTTACCAACTTATCAGGTTATGATTCCGGCTAAGAAGAGTGGTGCATAATCGCGTGACTCCTTGATATTTACTGCATTGGGATTTTTATATAATCTCTCATTTTAAGGGGGAAGTAGTAAACCGACTTTCATTTCTAGGGCTATATAGCTATTGTATATCACTCGATCAGAGAAGTTAGAAGTTATACATAAAGGCGAGTCTATGCATACAAGTACATACATGTATATGCTTATATGGGTGATAGTTGGTGTTTCTTATCTGAACGTATGCATATCCTTTTTCCTTTCAGAAGGTGCGTACGAAGTTCCAGCACCACAGAACCCGTATGATGACCTGCAGCCTCGATCCTTCGCTGCGACTGAGACTTCAAACACATACGAACAGCTGAAGCAGTATCAGAACGTGTCACACTAAATTCTCGTGCAGCACGCTCTTCAGGCCTGCTCACTTTGCCGATATGGCAACCTCATCCCGAATCTCCATTACCGATCATTTACGATTATGATGTTTAGCTTACAATTCATTTATACGCCTAAATCTATACATATGCCGTGGTAAAAGTGGAGAGCGCCTGAGACCTGCCTCACTTCAGGCTTTGCTTAATCTTCAAGCTTGCACACCTGATATAACTGAAATTGTGCTCAGCGGTGTTAAACTGATGTTCTGCTACACCTGGGAGAGCGCTTGAGTAATGATCGAGTTTCTCGCTGAAGTGTACTACCCGATTCATACGCTTGTAGTTCTTACAGGACTGTTTCAGGTTTGGAATAGTTATCTGATGAATAGGTTACGAAGTCATTGGGGACTCAGATGATTTCCGTTATGTCCATGGGTTGACAGTAGTCGGTGGATGTATCGGGAATGTACACGATGACTGTGTAGATACCCAACACTCACTCACTTGGAAGTGTACATGAACTCACGAAGTATGCATTACCACGCACAGCTTTCGGAATATTGTCTGTGAATATGGTTTTACGCCGCTTTTAGCAATAGTCCAGCAATATCACGGCGGGGGGACACCAGAAATGGGCTTCACACATTGTAACCATGTCGGGAATCGAACCCGTGTCTTCGGCATGACGAGCGAATGCTTAAACCACAAGGCTACCCGACCGCCCCTTTTCGGAATATAAATATTAATATGTATTATGTATGGTCCGAAAGGTCCGCTTTCATGCAAGCGAGTGTTAAGATTGATTCACCCGTATAGCGACGTGAACAAAATGTAATTTTGTTGAATTTAGGGAAAATTATAGTATTAAAGCAGATTTCGTCGCATTTCAGGATGTTAGAAATGCCACACTTAAATATTGTAAAGGAAGAAAGTAACACAGTTTTAAAATAACTTATAAACCTCCGGTGACGTCATCCCATTGTTCTCCAGTCGGGTTGAATCTCACAAACATGGACGTTGTAATGTCCCTGGGATTTTATATAATGTCCTGGGTATATTATTAATATAACTTCCGTTCAGATTGTAACATGTAATGAAATGTAAAATCAAATGACAAATGTTTTCTTTATATTTCTCGAGGATCGAACTCGCAACCTTCATATCTGTAGCCCAGTGAGTGTACCACAAGGTTACAGAGGTATTGATAAGCCGCACTGCTTTTTAGAATGTCCTTTTCAAGATCCGTATGCCAGCAACAGATATTTTACGCCCGTTTCCTAATGTTCATGGAAAGCTTGTTCGAAACATAAAAATGTTGATAAATGTTGTTTTAAGTTTCTTTTTCCGGTTCATAAGTAAGATAAAACATTTCCACTCGGGGTTTTATGATATCTAAAACCGTTATCCTTGGGATGCGTATTTTAAATGTGATAAGAACCCTTGGACGTGCTTTATTGTACACTTATAATGGGTTGAAATTTAGTTTGGGGATAATTGTAAGGTTCAAAATCGATAAAACACTTCCCCTCGGCCGGCGGTTTGTCCAGCTTGCAATCGTCCAACGGCTTGGTGTCGCTGATTTCTTGTCAATCTTGGTTTGTGGTAGCAATTCAATAACGAATGAATGTTATTCGATCTGGGTGGACTTTTATAGGGCAAGAAATGGGGGAACGTATGTGCATTTCAATTTGCACGGAACTCATGTGCATCGGGTCACCATGGCCGTTGCCGTAATGGCGATAGGTTTTATTGTCATTTGCTTTATCTTTTTATCATCAAATTTCATTTTTCCGGACAAGGAAATGTTAAATTTTAGAAACTTTGACAAAAATTACCCAGATATTTAAATGACAACTTTTCATGCAATGTTACTTGGGGTGACGTTTCTTTTGCGGTTCAGTATATATAAATTACAGTAAGTACTGACTACTTTTCCTACTCCTTATGCCAAACCAGGAGCAAACCCATTCGTAGTGCAGCAAGAAGTTTCCTGTACCTCGCGACCTCAGTGCTACAAGCGAAACCTCTCGTAAATGTGTTCCTGTAAATGCGCTTGTCTCTCGGAATGACACGAGTGTTCACGAGTGCTGAGCAACAGTACTGCATTACTACTTAAAGGGCAAGTTCACACGGAAATGAACCAATTTTTCTTGTACTTTTTCCACATTAAAAGTGTTAACATAGAAGTGTCATAGACAAAAATATAAAAACATCATATTTAATTAACATATTTTTTGCATTAAAACGATTTATATTTTTCACATTTACCAAGTGTTCTATTTCCACAACAAAAACACCATGGCTTATGCCCCTTGCAATATGACGTCATTGGTGCCAATTGATAAACATTATGACGTCATCATGCTTTGTTAGAGCCGCTTCACGTGGTGTAGGTACAGTTTTGTGATTCTAGCGTCTCAGATGCCAGCCAGAATTGTGTTATGCTGAGTCACCACTGCGCCGGAGTGTGTCGTAGACCATGTTGTTTTACCGCAAACTGGTCCTTGATATCTTTTGCGTTGAGAATAGACAGGGACCCAGTTGAATTGGCACCAATTACGTCATAATCTAAGGGGGATAACTCAGGCCTGTTTTGCTCGTAAAACGAAGGCCTCATAACGACATATCATTTTAACACTATTGTGAGCTTCCTACTTTCACTGTGAAAAAAAATGAGCGTATTTTTTCAAACACAGATACTAACTAATTCTAAAATTGCGTTTTGTTTAGAAAAAGAAAGAAAGTGATTTTTGCGTGTACACTTCCCCTTTAAGACAAACATTTTTCATGCGCCCGTCGTATCAGTTTAAATAAATACGAGTGACAAATCAGATATTGCTTACAAGGGTTAAATGTGTCGTGTCAATGAATCATAGTAGCATTTGATTTATTGTTCTTCTATTTAAAGGTGGTGCTTGAATTCATATAACAACATATTCAGCTGCAAGCAGAATGTACCTATTTTGCTGGGGAGTTCTGTTGCAAGGCTTGGCCAACCATCCATAGTACTGTGAAATCAGATTTCCGTTAGATATATTGCAAAGACAAGATTTCCAAGAAAGGTGGGAACCAAACTTTGCGTCAAATTGTTTAAGTTAACATTCAGTACTTTAAATATCACAAAATAATTTTTAGATATCACAAAGTCATTTATGATATCTAAACTGCGAAATCGTGAAATCAATGTTTTATGATAGCAATAAATAATTATCTTCTGATAGCACAAAATTTTTATTCAATTTAGATTTAATTATTGAATTAATATAGTCAGGAATAAACAGTCGGACGTCGCCTCAGAAGTCTGGACTTATGCAAGTTTTATAGTGCGAGCCCAAAGAGACACCATGCCGCAGTTAACATGCATACCCCATTCAGACGAGCCGACAAGACCTTGTTTTACCCCCTTAATGCCGAGCGCCAGGAAGGGTAACAACAAGTACCATCGTTTAAGGTATTCTGATATGACACGACCAGGGGATCAAACCCCGGACCTTTCGTTCTCGATTATAAGACAGGTGTTCGACACTTAAAGGTCATACAGTTTCAAATTTAAATGAGAGCTTTGAATTCCGATAACATAATTCAAAAGTTCAACATCATAGATTAAGGTAATAGCCTTCATAATATATCCTGCTACACTGAACTTATACCCTCAGTAAAATGTGTAAACATTTATTGTTTAATGTTGTTTTCTGAATTGCAAGAAAACGACTGTGTGAGTGTTTGAGTGAGTGAGTGAGTGAGCGAGTGAGCGAGTGACGCCGCAGCCAGTACTATTCGAGCTACATCACATTGACCTGTAATATATTTAAGTATTGTCAGGACAAGATACTGGCTTATACCACGTACAATGTTCACCTCTCCGAGTATGATAGCGCGCAATATAACCTTTCATGGAGCCTTCGAACACTGGTCTAGTTGGTTTACAAGCACCAGCCTGCTGAGGAACGTTTCTAACCCGGCTCTCCACGATAATAAAACATTTCAGCCACTCAGTGAGACGGATAATGTACAGCCATGCAATATGGTTTTGTGTGTGATCGATGTAGGATTATGAGATCAGTTCAGTACATGTTGTCCTCGTGAGCTGGTTTCGATCAAGGAGAAGGTATATGTAGAGTGGGCACAGTGTCTCCTCACACAAGTAAGCACGACTGTGCTGTTGCTACCATTGACACACAGGTAAGGAGTTAAACTCAGGCAAGGTTTTACCTTCATGTTAATTTTATTTTATATAATAATATTACATTTCCTGCGTCTTCAACAGAATATATGTTTATCGTGCTCAACCACCGAATGTGTGACAAAGTGTGACAAAGAGTTGAATATTCTGGCATCCTTTTACATGTTAAATAGAACTATAACATGTTTCAGTTTTTTGTTTTTTTGGTTTAACGCCGCTCTCGGCAATATTCCAGCTGTCTGTAAATGATCGAGTCTGGGCCAGACAATCAAGTGATTGACCTCATGAGCATCGACCTACACAATTGGGACACGATGATATGCATCAACCAAATCAGCGTGTCTGACCACCCGATCCCGTTACTCGCCTCTTACGACAAACATAGTCGCCTCTTGCGACAAGCATGGGTTACTGAAGACCTATTCTACCCCGGATCTTCACGGGTCACATGTATCAGTAGAATTGAACTGAGCGCTACAAATACACGAAATACCTTGTTAACACTGGAGTCATTAGATTATGTCGCGCTATTCGTAGACTAAATGTTGACATTTAAGTGTAAACTGTTATATTATAATGTTTGATTAATTGTTGATGTTCGATTCAAATGTTTTGTTTGTACTGCCTTATGTATAGTCAGTTGAGCACACTTCATGGTTGAACTGAGCGGAGCTAAAGCATTAGTAATGGCGGCTTGAAAGCATTTGTCACACGACGTTGCTAGAATTGACACACAGGGGATGATTTCTAACTTTGCTGCGGTTTAGCCCTCATGTTCATTTTGTTTCCAAATGTTACATTTTTTCCGTCTTTGTCATAATGTCTGTCTCCTGCTCAACCACGGACTTTGGTATGGTACAGGGTTGAATGGTTCTTTTACATATAGAATAAAAGTTGAAGATATATAAAGCATTTGACACACATTTGCTAGTTGGGATCATGTTAAATTGATTCTATTTGTAACTTTTATTTCGGATACAGGAATATTATTGCACGTCAACTATTCACCTGAGCAAACAGGGGAACATATGGTACAAGTCAAAATAGGGAATTGCATCGGACATCGTATTTGTCACTGATGCGTCAATGTCCTCCACGTCTACCATAAAACGTTTTGAAAGCTTTACCAATGCCTTCAATTGCAAGTCCCGTGAAGATTCCGAGTTAGAATTGGTCTTCACCAACTAATGCTTGTAAGAGGCGACTAACGGTATCGGGTGGTCAGATTTGCAGAGTTAGTTGATGCATGTCGTCTTATCCCAGTTGCGTAGATCGATGCTCATGATCGTCAATCACTGGACTGTCGGGTCCAGACTCAATTATTAACACACAACCGTCATATAACTGGAATATTGTGCAGTGCTGGATTAAACTACAAACACATGATTGAGATAACACACAATGCATTCGATGTTGTTACCCCCATGAAGCAACTTTTGAACAAGAGCAATAGGCACAGTCATTTCCTGGGGCTCGGCTTTGGCTGATGATCCAGGATTCCCAGTCAGGCATAATAGGAGAAAATTGGGTGCTTAGTTATTCGTAATGACCCCTACCAAAAGACTCTTGCCGTCATGGTAAAACGCTTCAGACTCTTCAAGCGTTCTTGCCGTCATGGTAAAGAGCTTCAGACCTTTCAAGCGTTCTTGCCGTCATGGTAAAGAGCTTCAGACTTTTCAAGCGTTCTTGCCGTCATGGTAAAGAGCTTCAGACTCTTCAAGCGTTCTTGCCGTCATGGTAAAGAGCTTCAGACTCTTCAAGCGTTCTTGCCGTCATGGTAAAGAGCTTCAGACTCTTCAAGCGTTCTTGCCGTCATGGTAAAGAGCTTCAGACTCTTCAAGCGTTCTTGCCGTCATGGTAAAGAGCTTCAGACCTTTCAAGCGTTCTTGCCGTCATGGTAAAGAGCTTCAGACCCTTCAAGCGTTCTTGCCGTCATGGTAAAGAGCTTCAGACTCTTCAAGTGTTCTTGCCGTCATGGTAAAAGAGCTTCAGACCTTTCAAGCGTTCTTGCCGTCATGGTAAAGAGCTTCAGACTCTTCAAGCGTTCTTGCCGTCATGGTAAAGAGCTTCAGACTCTTCAAGCGTTCTTGCCGTCATGGTAAAGAGCTTCAGACTCTTCAAGCGTTCTTGCCGTCATGGTAAAGAGCTTCAGACTCTTCAAGCGTTCTTGCCGTCATGGTAAAGAGCTTCAGACTCTTCAAGCGTTCTTGCCGTCATGGTAAAGAGCTTCAGACCCTTCAGGCGTTCTTGCCGTCATGGTAAAGAGCTTCAGACCCTTTAAGCGTTCTTGCCGTCATGGTAAAGAGCTTCAGACTCTTCAAGTGTTCTTGCCGTCATGGTAAAGAGCTTCAGACTCTTCAAGCGTTCTTGCCGTCATGGTAAAGAGCTTCAGACCTTTCAAGCGTTCTTGCCGTCATGGTAAAGAGCTTCAGACCCTTCAAGCGTTCTTGCCGTCATGGTAAAGAGCTTCAGACTCTTCAAGTGTTCTTGCCGTCATGGTAAAGAGCTTCAGACTTTTCAAGCGTTCTTGCCGTCATGGTAAAGAGCTTCAGACTCTTCAAGTGTTCTTGCCGTCATGGTAAAGAGCTTCAGACTCTTCAAGCGTTCTTGCCGTCATGGTAAAGAGCTTCAGACCCTTCAAGCGTTCTTGCCGTCATGGTAATGAGCTTCAGACCTTTCAAGCGTTCTTGCCGTCATGGTAAAGAGCTTCAGACTCTTCAAGCGTTCTTGCCGTCATGGTAAAGAGCTTCAGACTCTTCAAGCGTTCTTGCCGTCATGGTAAAGAGCTTCAGACTCTTCAAGCGTTCTTGCCGTCATGGTAAAGAGCTTCAGACTCTTCAAGCGTTCTTGCCGTCATGGTTAAGAGCTTCAGACTATTCAAGCGTTCTTGCCGTCATGGTAAAGAGCTTCAGACTCTTCAAGTGTTCTTGCCGTCATGGTAAAGAGCTTCAGACCCTTCAAGCGTTCTTGCCGTCATGGTAAAGAGCTTCAGACTCTTCAAGCGTTCTTGCCGTCATGGTAAAGAGCTTCAGACTCTTCAAGCGTTCTTGCCGTCATGGTAAAGAGCTTCGGACTCTTCAAGCGTTCTTGCCGTCATGGTAAAGAGCTTCGGACTATTCAAGCGTTCTTGCCGTCATGGTAAAGAGCTTCAGACTATTCAAGCGTTCTTGCCGTCATGGTAAAGAGCTTCAGACTCTTCAAGCGTTCTTGCCGTCATGGTAAAAGAGCTTAAGACGCTTCAAGCGTTCTTGCCGTCATGGTAAACAGCTTCAGACCCTCCAAGCGTTCTTGCCGTCATGGTAAAGAGCTTCAGACTCTTCAAGCGTTCTTGCCGTCATGGTAAAGAGCTTCAGACTCTTCAAGTGTTCTTGCCGTCATGGTAAAGAGCTTCAGACTCTTCAAGCGTTCTTGCCGTCATGGTAAAGAGCTTCAGACCCTTCAGGCGTTCTTGCCGTCATGGTAAAGAGCTTCAGACCCTTTAAGCGTTCTTGCCGTCATGGTAAAGAGCTTCAGACTCTTCAAGTGTTCTTGCCGTCATGGTAAAGAGCTTCAGACTCTTCAAGCGTTCTTGCCGTCATGGTAAAGAGCTTCAGACCTTTCAAGCGTTCTTGCCGTCATGTTAAAGAGCTTCAGACCTTTCAAGCGTTCTTGCCGTCATGGTAAAGAGCTTCAGACCCTTCAAGCGTTCTTGCCGTCATGGAAAAAGAGCTTCAGACTATTCAAGCGTTCTTGCCGTCATGGTAAAGAGCTTCAGACTCTTCAAGCGTTCTTGCCGTCATGGTAAAGAGCTTCAGACTCTTCAAGCGTTCTTGCCGTCATGGTAAAGAGCTTCAGACCCTTCAAGCGTTCTTGCCGTCATGGTAAAGAGCTTCAGACTCTTCAAGTGTTCTTGCCGTCATGGTAAAGAGCTTCAGACTTTTCAAGCGTTCTTGCCGTCATGGTAAAGAGCTTCAGACTCTTCAAGTGTTCTTGCCGTCATGGTAAAGAGCTTCAGACTCTTCAAGCGTTCTTGCCGTCATGGTAAAGAGCTTCAGACCCTTCAAGCGTTCTTGCCGTCATGGTAATGAGCTTCAGACCTTTCAAGCGTTCTTGCCGTCATGGTAAAGAGCTTCAGACTCTTCAAGCGTTCTTGCCGTCATGGTAAAGAGCTTCAGACTCTTCAAGCGTTCTTGCCGTCATGGTAAAGAGCTTCAGACTCTTCAAGCGTTCTTGCCGTCATGGTAAAGAGCTTCAGACTCTTCAAGCGTTCTTGCCGTCATGGTTAAGAGCTTCAGACTATTCAAGCGTTCTTGCCGTCATGGTAAAGAGCTTCAGACTCTTCAAGTGTTCTTGCCGTCATGGTAAAGAGCTTCAGACCCTTCAAGCGTTCTTGCCGTCATGGTAAAGAGCTTCAGACTCTTCAAGCGTTCTTGCCGTCATGGTAAAGAGCTTCAGACTCTTCAAGCGTTCTTGCCGTCATGGTAAAGAGCTTCGGACTCTTCAAGCGTTCTTGCCGTCATGGTAAAGAGCTTCGGACTATTCAAGCGTTCTTGCCGTCATGGTAAAGAGCTTCAGACTATTCAAGCGTTCTTGCCGTCATGGTAAAGAGCTTCAGACTCTTCAAGCGTTCTTGCCGTCATGGTAAAAGAGCTTAAGACGCTTCAAGCGTTCTTGCCGTCATGGTAAACAGCTTCAGACCCTCCAAGCGTTCTTGCCGTCATGGTAAAGAGCTTCAGACTCTTCAAGCGTTCTTGCCGTCATGGTAATGAGCTTCAGACCTTTCAAGCGTTCTTGCCGTCATGGTAAAGAGTTTCAGACTCTTCAAGCGTTCTTGCCGTCATGGTAAAGAGCTTCAGACTCTTCAAGCGTTCTTGCCGTCATGGTAAAGAGCTTCAGACTCTTCAAGCGTTCTTGCCGTCATGGTAAAGAGCTTCAGACCTTTCAAGCGTTCTTGCCGTCATGTTAAAGAGCTTCAGACCTTTCAAGCGTTCTTGCCGTCATGGTAAAGAGCTTCAGACCCTTCAAGCGTTCTTGTCGTCATGGTAAAGAACTTCAGACTCTTCAAGCGTTCTTGCCGTCATGGTAAAGAGCTTCAGACTCTTCAAGCGTTCTTGCCGTCATGGTAAAGAGCTTCAGACTCTTCAAGCGTTCTTGCCGTCATGGTAAAGAGCTTCGGACTATTCAAGCGTTCTTGCCGTCATGGTAAAGAGCTTCAGACTCTTCAAGCGTTCTTGCCGTCATGGTAAAAGAGCTTTAGACGCTTCAAGCGTTCTTGCCGTCATGGTAAACAGCTTCAGACCCTCAAAGCGTTCTTGCCGTCATGGTAAAGAGCTTCAGACTCTTCAAGCGTTCTTGCCGTCATGGTAATGAGCTTCAGACCTTTCAAGCGTTCTTGCCGTCATGGTAAAGAGTTTCATACTCTTCAAGCGTTCTTGCCGTCATGGTAAAGAGCTTCAGACTTTTCAAGCGTTCTTGCCGTCATGGTAAAGAGCTTCAGACTATTCAAGCGTTCTTGCCGTCATGGTAAAGAGCTTCAGACTCTTCAAGTGTTCTTGCCGTCATGGTAAAGAGCTTCAGACTCTTCAAGCGTTCTTGCCGTCATGGTAAAGAGCTTCAGACTCTTCAAGCGTTCTTGCCGTCATGGTAAAGAGCTTCAGACTCTTCAAGCGTTCTTGCCGTCATGGTAAAGAGCTCGGTTCCAAAATAAATCAAGGGGTATTGAACGGTGTTTGAAATAGAACAAAATGCCAGGCTGCCATCAGTACCCACAGACTTTAGGAGCTGGCTGAACTCTTTAGACCCTCATTTAGAAAACTGCAGCTGATTATAACAAATACATCGACACGTAAATCTACTGCAGGCCATAAGGACCAATACAAATGTGAAACTACTGGCCCGACACAAAATCTACCTGCCACGGGCCTACGGACAGGCGCTTATTTCGAACACTGATATCGAATCTTCAGTGAGAATAGCCTAAATCTCCAAATGTATAAATCAACATTCATAATTATATAAACATAGATGCAAGGCACTACCTCTGACCAGGTACAATCAAGTGAATTGAGTATACATGTAGTGAAATCGTCACTAATGTTGTAAGTGGACTGTGGTTGTAATTGGGCTTTGTAATGTGGTCCGTTGTGAGAGGATTTCATTGTCCAGATATTCAGTAAAGTATCATAAAATTCGATAACAAAGGTGTAGATATTTTATTTATAGACCATCGACAAAAATGGCCAGTGAAGATGGTGGTGCCAACAAGAAACTTATATTCATGACTAATCGCTGAATATTCTGAGTTTTAAGAAAATAATGTAATTATTTTTGGTTGCAGTTCTCTGCCTGAACATGTGGAAGCCTGGCCGACTCTATACTACCACCCTTGCTTGGATAGCATGCATTCACTACAGTGAGGTTTTAATGTTCCTTGCATTATCAGCTTCATATGTTATCCATTGATTTGACTTTTACAACACCATTTTCAGTATCGTAAATGTGAGGGAAGAGTGGCGTTGTGTCACGCAGTTTCGATTTACCATATGTACAGTTTGTAAAGTCAATTCCTTGTGTTACCCGCTTGTGATAAAGTTGGAATGTTGCTGTTAGCGCATACAACTTCACTCATTGCAGGTGTTGATTCGGCGGATCCCCCGTGTGTGGCAGGGGTGGCGGCGCTCCGTACAGAATACACTATTCAGGGGGACAGAAGCAACTACACTGGCTTCATATGGGTACGACCTTATGATAGCCGGTATGTCGTCGTATGTAACCCCAGCTGTAGCCCTGTGGCTGGATACAGTGCAACGGTGAACGGCACACACTCTACACTCACTATACACAGTGTTGGAACTATAGATGCTGGTACATGGAAGATCGTGGATGCACTTGTAGTTGGAGCTGTCCCTGTCGACGTGTGTCAGCTGAGGGTGGCAAGTGAGTAGTTCAGGTCCTTGCTTACAAAAAAACGACGGAGGAATAATGTCGTCCTTGGCAGCAGACAAACACAAGTTCGAAGTGAGTGAGTGAGGTTTGTTTGACGCTGCTTTAAACAGTATTTGAACAGTTACTCACATGGCGTTTAGCACTGACACTGTACAACTTGATGAAACCCACAAACACGGGTATAATGCTGACAAACCAGGACATATAATCAGAGCGGACCTTGCATTCGACCCCACGATGATAGGCTTTTGGGTTGCCAAGTCGCCTCATGAGCCGCATCCACTATTATCATAAGATATTCCTTTAGACAATATTCTTTGTGTTTATCTCTCCAATTTATAAATTGTTTAAACTCTGTACTAGACACAGTTAGCACATCACTTCGAGAGAAGAATTGGAGGAGGGTTTGTATTGTAGTCACAATATTTCTAACAATAAATAGTTTGGGGAGTTTTCACGAATTGGTCACTATGCACTACCTCATATCTGAATCATTTATCATGATGCGAAGGGGTTATTATCCTGCCTTATAACACACCAGACATTCAACACTATGATTTTGATGTCACTTCACTGGTTTCTCATTACAGGTCCACTTGCTGTGTGTATAAACACAGAGTTCAATCAGGGCTCTTGTCCACACCCGAACAAAGGAATAACTATTTTCCTACATTCTACATCAGTCTACATAAGCAGTTATCTCCCATGCTTGTATTTACAGAACTCCCCCGGTGCAACGTCAGCAGTGATGCAGACCCAACAGCCCTCCAGCCCAATACAAACCTGACACTGACAGTAGACATCAGAGAGTTCTACTGTTCACAAGAAGCTGGCTTTTATCTTACTACGGGCAACGTCACGGAGATGTTGATGAAGTACAACGTCACTGACGTCAGCGATGTTATCACTTCCAGCACCTTCAGTGTGACACCAGCCCGACTCGGTGACGTCACAGTGAGCTATACGTGTGACGTCAGCAGCTGGGATGTAAACTGTGACGGTATGAGGAGCCTTGGTGAGTTGTTAGTCGATTTTTATGAAGATTGAAACTGGTAAATATTCAATGCCCTAGACATACAGTTTCTTGCTTTGAGAAGGTGAAATACGTTTTGGGTAGATCAAATGTCACAATTAAACATGCGACAAATGAGTAGACAGCTTGGTTTGTTTTATGTGATTAAGAAGGGGCGTGAAGGGCTGTTGGGGACGGGTCAAACCGAGGCTGTCACTACAACGTGTTTCGCGAAACATTCAGTAGGTAGATAATGCTGAATGGAGGGTTCACTGGAATGTGATGTAACTTATTCAATGCTACTTAATACATGGTGGGTACAATGGGGAAGTAGGTAAATATGCAGGACACAGGACGCCCCCTGCCGTGTTGGTAAGTTGTGTACACGAACTCCTTCCTCGGTTGCTTTAGGCGCCATTTTGTCGTCTTGCTAAAATAACACGGGGTTGAATACAACGCTTTCATAAGTAAATGCAATGTTAAATTATCAAAGTTAATACAAAATACTACGTGTTTGTTGATATATGACTCTGATTGATGTCGCTGATGAGGTTGTCGCTCGCCTTTATCGAACGTCTAATTCTGATTAGTTTGCAAATGTTGATGTTCAATTTTCTACGTTTATGGGTTGTATTTATATTCAGTCGCGTTTGGCTATATCTGCAGCATCAAGCAAACATGGCGGATAGGTTTCCGGCGTAATGAGCGTTTACCGAGAATAACGTTGTTCTTACTCAAGCCAACGACGGATTCCCAATCAAATATATCAATAATATGACATTTTATTATTTCCCAAATGGGTATATGGTGCGAAGAAAATGTACGCTTGTTGGTTAATGTGTTATTCCTTGGTTTGAGTATTACAACACCATTTCCAGTACCCCACTCACTCACTCACTCACTCACTCACTCACTCACTCACTCACTCACTCACTGCAGGTGTTGGTTCGGCTGATTCCCCGTGTGCGGGAGGAGTGGCACTGCTTTATACGCAATACACAATTCAGACCGACAGAAGCAGCTTCACTGGCATTGCGTGGGTACGACCCACTGACGGCCGGTATGTCGTCACATGCAACCCCAGCTGCAGCCCCGTGCCTGGATACAGTGCAGACACAAATGCTACACACAGAACACTGACTATACACAGTGTCGGGGTGGTAGATGCTGGTGTATGGAAGGTCCTGGATGCGGCTGTAGTTGGAGCCGTCCCTGTCCCGGCGTGTCGGCTGACGGTGGAGAGTGAGTATGTCTTGTTCTTGGTTTCAGTGCATTGATGTCTGACCAGGTCTTTGGAGTGAGTGAGTAAATGAGTTAGTGAGTTTTGTTTAGGGCTGTTATATTTCAGTGACTTGTGTGGAACCGTGAAGACCCGGGTTAGACAAGGTCATCAGCAACACATGCTCGTTGTAAGAGGCGACTTACGGGATCAGGTGGTCAGGCCCGCTGACTTGGTTCATGCATGTCACCGTATCCAAATTGCGTGGATCGATGCTCATGATGCTCATGATATCAATCACTAGCTTGTCTTTTCCAGACCCGATTATTTTACAGACCAACGTCATGTAGCTGGACTATTGCTGACTGCGGCGTTAAACTGAAAGCAATCAAACAAAGTTACATTTCAGCCCGAATGATGCATGGTGTTTACTATTTTGTTCAGAGTGAATCTTGGACTCGAAACCATGACAACGGGTTTCTGAATTGCCATGGTTTACGTCCACTGGGCGTGATAGAAACGTCTGAGCATTGCATCTCAGTATACGTTTACTTACCGAGATCATAAACGTCAAGACACAAACTCTCTTGTCCATGACTGAACAACTAAATTAATAGTTTCCTTCGGTCTACATCAGCAGTTATCTGCCATGCTTGTATTTCACAGAACTCCCCCGGTGCAACGTCAGCAGTGATGCAGACCCGACAGCCCTCCAGCCCAATACAAGCCTGACACTGACAGTAGACATCAGAGAGTTCTACTGTTCACAAGAAGCCGGCTTTTATCTTACTACAGGCAACGTCACGGAGATGTTGATGAAGCACAACGTCACTGACGTCAACGATGTTATCACTTCCAGCACCTTCAGTGTGACACCAGCCCGACTCGGTGACGTCACAGTGAGCTATACGTGTGACGTCAACAGCTGGGATGTAAACTGTGACGGTGTGAGGAGCCTTGGTGAGTTGTTAGTCGATTTTTATGAAGATTGAAACTGGTAAAGACTGCAAAATATTCAATGCCCTAGACATACAGTTTCTTGCTTTGAGAAGGTGAAATACGTTTTGGGTAGATCAAATGTCACAATTAACATGCGACAAATGAGTAGACAGCCTGGTTGTTTTTATGTGATTAAGAAGGGGCGTGAAGGGCTGTTGGGGACGGGTCAGAACGAGGCTATCACTACAACGTGTTTCGCGAAACATTCAGTAGGTAGATAATGCTGAATGGAGGGTTCACTGGAATGTGATGTAACTTATTCAATGCTACTTAATACATGGTGGGTACAATGGGGAAGTAGGTAAATATGCAGGACACAGGACGCCCCCTGCCGTGTTGGTAAGTTATGTACACGAACTCCTTCCTCGGTTGTTTTAGGCGCCATTTTGTCGTCTCGCTAAAATAACACGGGGTTGAATACAACGCTTTCATAAGTAAATGCAATGTTAAATTATCAAAGTTAATACAAAATACTACGTGTTTGTTGAAATATGAAATGAAGCATACATGTTACATTATGTGTTGAGTTGACTTTAAAAATGCTTCAACAGTAATTCAGTTAATGTGACATCGGCGCCTAACGTGACCTAGGTCAGAGACATTACAACGTTGATGTAACCCACCCGCGCGCATATGCTAATTGTAGCATTCGAACGAACGACCAGTGGTTTCTGGTACGCCTATTTGGAGCTTTCGACCTATCATTACATCGTCATATAATTAAATATGGATCAATATGTATTGTTTCTTCCCTGAGTATTTATACATGTATGTGGGTACCAGTTGGTGCCGCATTTTACACTGCAGAATTGTTTCCCAGAGTGCCATGATGAAGGGTTCGAATCCCTGAATATGATCAATGGTTTGTCATCAACATATCGGACCAGAACAGGATATTCTCCAACATTAAGCTGACACGCTGTGACATAACTGAAACACTGTTCAAAGTGGCGTAAAACGCGTATATTCACTGACTATAAATAATTATTAATGAAGATTTGTAAACCTGTGTTTGATGCCATTGCCACCAATGTCCAAGCTGTTGTTTATATGATGATATACAAACTGTTGGTATCTAATATATATTTTGTTTCTTCAATCCTGCATTCATTGAAACATTCATCCTTCAAACATATTCATACAGTTTGCATCAAGTTGTTAATCCTAAAACTTTTTTTTCCAGGAATTTGAATTATTAAACATGTGCCTCGTTCTAGTTCCAAATGTACCATCTTACATACATTTAACTGCATACATACATTAAATATTTCCAGAAAGTATCAGGACATGTGAGTATGTAGTCAAAACATGATACCGGTATTCGTTAATTTGTTTGTTTGTTGTTAAATGCTGCACTTCCATTTCATGTTTTGTTTGTTTGTGTGTTTGTTGTTTAACGCCGCACTCAACAATATTTAAGCTATAAGCGGCGTTCAGTAAATAATCAAGTTTAGACCAAACAAGTGAGTGATTGACTTCACGAGCATCGATCTAAGCAATTCAATCATAATATCATTTTAATAAAAATAACTAATAGTATATTTGGATATAGGTATTGCTAGTTTTATGTATTCTGAGTTGCGTCATTAAAATTTACCTTTCTATTGTTGATATTAATACTTTATGAATAATGCAACTTTCATGATAATGCACCTCTGTTTGATGTTCATGGGTTATTTAGAACTTTTCTGTCGTTTTACATGCATTACATTGACAGAAAGCAATGTAACACTTGTTGACCTCTCATAGTTGTGTGTTATAGCAATACAACTACTGGCTCTTGTGTTTACCCTTCTCCCTGCCACCAGTTTTGCCCTGTACAATCCTTGGCAAAGAACACCGGTAAAGACAAGTTGAATGTAGCCAGAAATGTGATGACGTGCTCCACTAAGATGCAACCCTCCAGTTTGCTGTCCCACACCATGGAGTTTATGTTTATGCTTTCAGATTCTGGCTGACCAAATGTTTGCTGCTCCGAAGCGCCAGGCTCTGTTCCCAACAAACACTCCTTGCGAAGCTCATTACTGGTGTCCCCTGCAATGACATTTGTTAAATATTGCAAACACGGCGTAAAACAATGATGACTTACTCAACGTGAAGCGACAGTTTACTCGCTTGAGATCCTTTACCTTCCTGCAGCAGTTGGCTTGAAAATTTGATATGGAGCTTATGGAGGTCACTCTGATAGTCTGATATGGTTATGAATGCGTCTCTACAAACATGCTGTATATAGGATATTAATGATTTATGTGCATACTTCTGATTCATGATCAACTCTCAACGCTATTTATACATTAAATGATATGGTATCGTTTGCATGGTATCGGTCAGCTATTGAGATTATAGATTATTATATATGTAATACCATTGTTGTGGAGAGAATATAAATAAAACAAAACAAACATTGTTTCGGTTCATGTTACATGAACATTAGCACAAACGCCACATGCTTCGCGGAAATCAGATCGTGGCATTCATTTCACGTGCAGAAAATGAATGCTGACACGTGATGCATTGCAATCGTCAGTGCAGGCTTTTCGTTCGTTGGAGCAAGACACACTTTACGGTCGTTAGACCAATATTCGTGGTCTTGGTATAAACTAGATGGGACAATATTCGTGGTCTTGGTATAAACTAGATGGGACAATATTCGTGGCCTTGGTATAAACTAGATGGGACAATATTCGTGGCCTTGGTATAAACTAGATGGGACAATATTCGTGGCCTTGGTATAAACTAGATGGGACAATATTCGTGGCCTTGGTATAAACTAGATGGGACAATATTCGTGGCCTTGGTATAAACTAGATGGGACAATATTCGTGGCCCTTAGAAACGTTAAGTGTTTACTTGCACCTAAAGTAAATTATTCATTCCTGCATTCTAGGTCATGGACATTGCATAGTTTCCTTATTTTTCATTAAGAAGAGAATCACGTTTAGTTCCCCACATATCATATAAAGAGAATCACGTTCAGTTCCCCATTAATCGTACAATTTCCAGTGGAGTAGAAAAGACGGAAGGTATACACGTGAACGTCGTCGCCTTCCACTGCGCAACAAATATTGGTAGCAGAGCCTGCGCAACAACCATCGTGCCTTGTGCGATGCATGACTGGGTCGTTACGAATATGGTACTATCATGCCAGAATTGGAATCTTTGGAGTTGTCAATGGGGTTATTTCCCACGAAGTAGAGCTTCTGAGGGGCTGCGAAAACAAAGTGGCTGGACTGCAGGCGAATGAGTTCAAGGCAGACAGACAGTTTCTTTTACAATAAAATCAGATCTTAGTTCTCCCTATCGCTGAACAAAGATCTGAGGACATCCTATTACAGGTCACGTCAGACCTGGGGGCACGGGTGGCCCAGTCGTCTAAGGCGCCGTGATTCGCTGTGCAGAGTTGCGTCCCTTGGGCACGCCAGAAACCTATGAAGGTGGGTTCGAATCCCGGTTCGCCCCGATTATGTTTCTTTGTTTGTCAGCACCATACCCGTGCTCGTGGGTTTCACCGAAGTGGTAAACGTCTGAGACCTGCATCATTTCGGGCTTTCCTCCCACATTAAGCTGACACGCCGTGATATAACTGGAATAATGTTAAAAGCGGCGTTAAACCCAACTCACTCACTCACTCACGTCAGACCGACCTTTCATCCAAACAATCAGGGGGTCGCTTACCAGATCATGAAAGTGACACACGGAATGTGTTTTCTAATCGTGCAACCTCGAAATATTTACGGGGTAGTCCGAACGACAGTTATAGTCTGGAGGTAATTTAAGGTACCGACGTTTACTACAATATCTGAAAAACTATCGGACCTACTCCAGTCAAAGCTGGTATGAGATTATTAAACAGTCATACATAACCGGATATTACATTTAAATTCAATCGGTGCATGAATTAAACATCTGTATATTTAGATATCACTATAATTCATCAACAACCAGACCTGTTCGTCACGGGTGGAACGAGCATTCATTGAAACAGCCATCTGCGTAATGCTACCCCTGCGTCACAGGGCGGTATGACACAGTTGAACCAATCAACTCAACTCGAAAGGTTGCACGGGAATCATGCACTTTGAGACGCCCAACGCCGTATTCGTGCGTGCGTGATTCCCGTGCTCCCTTTCGAGTTGAGTTGGTTGGTTCAACGGTGTCATATGGCCCTGTGACGCAGGGGTCCGGCCAAAGAAGAAGAAGAACTAGGATTTTCGGAGGCCAGAAGTACTTGGACCTCGAGGGGGAAGAAGTACCAAGACCTCCAGAGGAAAAAAGTTCCAGTACCTACAGACCGCCGTCATATAGCTGAAATCTTGCTAAGTGTGGCGCTAAACAAGAAATAAACAAACAAACAAACCTCCAGAGTGAAGAAGTACCAAGACCTCGAGAAGCACAGAAGTACCAAGACCTCCAGATAGAAGAAGTACCAGGCCCTCGAGAAGGACAGAAGTACCAAGACCTCCAGAGAGAACAAGTACCAGGACCACCTGGAGAACGAAGTACCAAGACCTCCCGAGAGAAGAAGTTCCAGGAGCTCCAAAGGGAAGAAGTACCAGTACCTCCAGAGAGAAGAAGTTCCAGGACATCCAGAGGGAAGAAGTTCCAGGACCTCCAGAGGGAAGAAGTACCAAGACCTCCCGAGCGAAGAAGTACCAGGACCTCCAGAGGGAAGAAGTACCAGGACCTCCAGAGAGAAGAAGTAACAGGACCTCCAGAGGGGGAGAAGTACCAGGACCTCCTGGGGAAAGCAGTACCAGGACCTCCAGAGGAAAGAAGTACCAGGACCTCCAGAGGGAAGAAGTTCCAGGACCTCCAGAGGGAAGAAGTACCAAGACCTCCCGAGAGAAGAAGTACCAGGACCTCCCGAGAGAAGAAGTACCAGGACCTCCAGAGGGAAGAAGTACCAGGACCTCCCGAGAGAAGAAGTACCAAGACCTCCCGAGAGAAGAAGTACCAAGACCTCCCGAGAGAAGAAGTACCAGGACCTCCAGAGGGAAGAAGTACCAGGACCTCCAGAGGGAAGAAGTACCAGGACCTCCTGGGGAAAGCAGTACCAGGACATCCAGAGGGAAGAAGTACAAGGACCTCCAGAGGAAAGAAGTACCAAGACCTCCCGAGAGAAGAAGTACCAAGACCTCCATAAGGAAGAAGTTCCAGGACCTCCAAATGTCGACGAAGTACCAAGACCTCCCGAGAGAAGAAGTACCAGGACCCCCAGAGGAAAGAAGTACCAGGACCTCCAGAGGAAAGAAGTACCAAGACCTCCCGAGAGAAGAAGTACCAATACCTCCAGAGGGAAGAAGTACCAGGATCTCAAGAGGGAAGAAGTAGCAGGACCTCCAGAGAGAAGAAGTACCAGGACCTCCAGAGGGAAGAAGTACCAGGATCTCCAGAGGGAAGAAGTTCCAGGACCTCCAGAGGAAAGAAGTACCAGTACCTCCCGAGAGAAGAAGTACCAGGATCTCCAGAGGGAAGAAGTACCAGGACCTCCAGAGGGGAGAAGTACCAGGACCTCCAGAGGGAAGAAGTACCAGGACCTCCAGAGGGAAGAAGTACCAGGACCTCCAGAGGGAAGAAGTACCAGGACCTCCAGAGGGAAGAAGTACCAGGACCTCCAGAGGGAAGAAGTACCAGGACCTCCAGAGGGAAGAAGTACCCGGACACTACAAATGTAAATCCTTGAAACGCAAATTCTCTCTACCTCCCACGCAGGGACGTTTACCAACCCTTGTAATTGCAACCAAAAGTGATAAAAAGGAAAGAAGTACCAAGACCTCCAGAAAAAAGTGATAAAAAAATCTTCGAGAAGCCATATTAAATCTATAAATGACCATCTGTCATTATTTTGCCTTGTCAATGTGGAACTGATGTAAATGGGTACCCAGTAGTTTGTGTACGTGCGTGACACTTACGATAAAAGGGAGATAATTTGCGGGGACGTAACTCTTGTAAGACAAACGTTCCGCAAAATGTTGTGTTAACTGCAAGGAAAATTATAATCCCTTTTCTCAACTTCAGCAAACCCACTCAAATGAACCATGAACGCCTGACGCACTCCACTGCACTTGTTGGGTGACAGATGTTGGTGCACGGAAGATCGCGCTCGATGCTGCATATGATATCTTATTCATAATCAATCAGGATAAATATGACTTGTCACCACGTGGAAAGGAAATTGATAAGAATGAGTTTCGTGTTCCTTGTGAAACTTTCCCGTATGCTAACACTGACATTAAAGTGACCAGCACTTTCACACAGACAAGGAGGTGAGAAACTACATTCACACAACTAGTGGGAGCATGAGATCAGTGTGTTACATCTTGTGTTCGTGAGCTGGTTTTGATCAAAGTGCTTCAACACATCTAAACTCTATGTAAGCAAACACTACACACGAGCTGTTCTCACCACAGTCACACAAGTAATGATTTCAACCTCAGGTAGGGTTTTATCCTAATACTAATGTTGTTGCGTACACAAATCTTACGTTCGGTCTTAGAATCGGTCTTCAACAGAAACTATGTTTATCGTGCTCTTGGTAGAACTGAGCAGTTCAACTGAGCGGAGCTGCAGTATTACATGAAGTCATTTGTCACACGACGGTGCTGGAAGAGATCTCATTGAACTGAACTTCAGATAAAGATAACATAAGTCAACCGATCTCGAGGGTATATGGTGTGATGTACACTGTCCGGAATGTATGTCCGCAGTTTCACTCGTAGCAGACAACGCAAACGAACCTGTTACTTCCTTTTTCACAAAGCATTTGGATAAACATCGGTTCATTTCAACTCAACGATACTTATTCGTGATATACAAGTTACCTTCGATGAGTTCCGATTGATTCTCAGCAGGCTACATGATCATGAGGGGGCTACATGGAAAATATATGCCCGCTCCATAACCAACCGAAGCTAGTACAGTAAACTACTGTTATAGCGAACTCAAAGGGACCAGTAATTTTAGTTCGTTTTAAAGGCAGTTCGTTATATGCATATAAACAGCATATAAACAGTAAATTGCCGGGACCCAAAAATAAGTTCGTTATGTCTGTCAGTTCGTTATAAGCGTGTTCGTTATAAACGTAGTTTACTGTATTTTAATGTAAAGTGAGATAACTACAGTTATATAATCCTCTGAATCTTCTGTTAACGTGGGAGACTGGAATATCATTTCCTTCTCATTTGCAAATAATTTTATGCCTTCCTTTGTAAACATAATTTTTATTGCAGTTAAATCTGCCTGAACATGTGGAAGCAAGGCCGCCTGTGCACATTGACCCTGGCTTGGATAGCCTGCATTCACTACAGTGAGGTTTTGCTGTTCCTTGCATTATCAGATTCATATGTTATCCCTTGGTTTTACCTTTACAACACCATTTTCAGTATCGCAAATGTATGGGAAGAGTGGCATGGTGTTTAAAGTGATTACCAGTCATGCTGAACATGCAGTTCCTATTTCACACATGGGTACAGGATGTGAAGAAAATGTACGCTTGTTGCATTAATGTGTTATTCCTTGGTTTGAGTATTACAACACCATTTCCAGTACCCTACTCACTCACTCACTCACTCACTCACTCTCTCACTCATTGCAGGTGTTCGTTCGGCTGATTCCCCGTGTGTGGGAGGAGTGGCCCTGCTTGGTACACAATCCACTATTGAGGGCGACAGAAGCAGCTTCACTGGCTTTGTGTGGGAACGACCCACTGACGGCCGGTATGTCGTCACATGCAACCCCAGCTGCAGCCCTGGGCCTGGATACAGTGCAGAAATAAATGCTACACACAGTACACTGACTATACACAGTGTCGGGATGGTAGATGCTGGTGTATGGAAGGTCCTGGATGTGGCTGTATTTGGAGCCGTCTCCATCCCCGTGTGTCAGCTGACGGTGGAGAGTGAGTATGTCTTGTTCTTGGTTTCAGTGCATTGATGTCTGACGAGGTCTTTGGAGTGAGTGAGCAAATGAGTTTGTGAGTTTTGTTTAACGCTGTTATATTTCAGTAACTTGTGTGGACCCGTGAAGACCCGGGTTAGACAAGGTCGTCAGCAACACATGCTCGTTGTAAGAGGCGACTAACGGGATCGGGTGGTCAGGCCCGCTGACTTGGTTCATGCATGTCATCGTATCCCAATTGCGTGGATCGATGCTCATGATGCTCATGATATCAATCACTAGCTTGTCTTTTCCAGACCCGACTATTGCTGACTGCGGCGTTAAACTGAAAGCAAACAAACAAAGTTACATTTCAGCCCGAGTGAGTGAGTGGGTTAGGTTTAACGCCGCTTTTAACATTATTCCAGTCATATCACGGCGTGTCAGCTTAATGGGGGAGGAAAGCCCAAAGTGATGCAGGTCTCAGACGTTTACCACTTCGGTGAAACCCACGAGCACGGGTATGGTGCTGACAAACCTAGAAACATAATCGGGGCGAACCGAGATTCGAACCCACAATCATAGGTTTCTGGCGTGCCCAAGGGACGCGGCGCCTTAGACGACTGGGCCTTCCGTGCCCCACATTTCAGCCCGAATGATGCATGGTGTTATCTTGTTCAGTGTGAATCTTGCACTCGAAACCATGACAGTGGGTTTCTGAACTGCCATGGTTTACGTCCACTGGGCGTGACAGAAACGTCTGAGCATTGCATCTCAGTATACGTTTACTTACCGAGGTTATAAAAGGCAAGACACAAACTCTCTTGTCCATGACTGAAGAACTAAATTAATAGTATCGTTCATTCTACAGTTATCTGCCATGCTTGTATTCACAGAACTCCCCCAGTGCAACGTCAGCAGTGATGCAGACCCAACAGCCCTCCAGCCCAATACAAACCTGACACTGACAGTAGACATCAGAGAGTACTACTGTTCACAGGAAGCTGGCTTTTATCTTACTACAGGCAACGTCACGGAGATGTTGAAGCACAACGTTACTGACGTCAGCGATTGTTATCACTTCCAGCACCTTCAGTGTGACACCAGCCCGACTCGGTGACGTCATAGTCAGCTATACGTGTGACGTCAACAGATGGAATCTGAACTGTGATGGTGTTAGTAACCTATCACTGGGTAAGTAGAAATGTGTCAGCTTACGATGGCGAGTGAGTATCTCTTGTTCTTGGTTTCCGTGCAACAATGCAGCAATGCTGTCAGACCAGGTAGTAGACAAACTGAGTGGGTATGTTTGGTATAATGCTGTCGTGTACAGTATTTCAGTTACTTTCATTGCGTATCAGCTGGACGAAGAAGCCCGAAGTGATGCAGTGGTGCGTTCAGAAGGCCAAGGGGTGCCAATGCGCCAGCGAGCGGGTCCGAATATTTCCTAATGAACATGCCGAGACGCCTGCTCTGCGCGCCCTCTAGCGTCTCCGCGTATTCTGAACAGGAGGCATGTCAAGGGATAAAGATGGCGGATGTTGTCAAGTCGCGTATTTATAACGCCATCGCGTCGCATCGCGAAGCAGGACGCCATGGTAAACTCAGCGCCCTCTGGATTGCTTCACTTCCCCCCGCTCGGTAAGACTCGTGAGCGCACGCTCGGAGTGCTTCGGTTTATCGGACCTAACTGAAGGCATCTCCCTGGATTGCTTCGCTTGCTCCCCGCTCGGTAAGATTCGCTAGCGCACGCTCGGAGTGCTTCGGTTTATCGGACCTAACTGAAGGCATCTCAGGTCTTAGATGTTTACAACTTTGATGAAACGCACACACACTGGTTGGTTGGTGGCACCTGACGATGGCGAGTGAGTATTTCCTGTTCTTGGTTTCAGTGCAACGATGCAGCAATGATGAGACACTAGGTAGTATACTAACCAATGTTTTAAGTGCGTGAGCTTTGTTCAACGCTATTCTGAACAGTTTTTTCTGTTACCTTTATGGCGTGTCAGCTTGATAAAGGATCCCTAAGTAATGCAGGTCTTAGACGCTCACCACTTTGATTAAACCCACATACACGGGTATCATGATGACAATCCAAGAAACATGTCCAGGGCGAATCTTGTATTCGAACCTACGATGCATGATAGGTTCCTGGGTTGAGAAGTCGGCTAAGGCGCCGCAATTCTCTGCACTGTGTTGCTTGTCTTTGTCGGGTCAAAAACCTCTGATCGTTGGTTTGAAACCAAGATTAGCTGTGAAAAACTAATCTCACTCATGCATCAGGTATTGATTTTGACAATATATCTAAAAACATGACCATTTAATTGTTGCTTTACGGTTTTAAAAAAAATTAATATTGTTCATGTTAAACCATGTTGAGGGTATGTACCAGATGCAGTTTACACATCACTTCAAACTGGAGATGGGTTTGTATCATATTATCATTCACAACATCTCGAGCAAGCATATCTGAGAGAGGCTTTGTATTTTCAGATCCGTAGGTCGCTGTGACATACCTCACATCGGGTCGTTTATCATAATGTGTAAGAGCTATCCTGCTTAATGCCACAACATACACTGAACACTTGATTTATATGTATTCATGTCATATCAGTCTACATCAACGTTACGTCTCCCAGTGTTGTATTCACAGAACTCCCCCAGTGCAACGTCAGCAGTGATGCAGACCCAACAGCCCTCCAGCCCAATACAAACCTGACACTGACAGTAGACATCAGAGAGTCCTTCTGTTCACAGGAAGCTGGCTTTTATCTCACTACAGGCAACGTCACGGAGATGTTGATGAAGTACAACGTCACTGACGTCAGCGATGTTATCACTTCAGCTGTACGTGTGACGCCAGCATATTTCTTACTTCATCAGCTGGGATCTGAACTGATATCAGGAGACTACCAATGGGTGAGTTAGAAGGTGGGTGTTAGTGTGTTTGTGCGTGTGTGTTGATTTGTTTAAGATACAATATTGACTTCTTGAAGACTTTTGTGTATCCAGTGCATTCTATTGTTATAAATACCATTACCTACTGGCTACCATACCTTTGTTTCAGAAGTGACGTCACCACTTTGTCTCTTCATCTTATGGCTTTCTCTCATGTACCTAATTTGATTGGACGGCTATTGTGCTCGTCGTGCCATATAAATCGCAGTCAAAACAAAGGTACGTAGAGATATAATCAAATGCATAATTGGAGATGGCTTTGTAGCGGAACGAGACTTTTAGGGCATACCAAATCTCACGAAAATGCTTGGCAAAAAAGCTGAAGCAAGACATCATTGCTGAGAACTTTCATTCAAGGTTTAAGCATTTACTCGTCAATCTGTACAGCTTTGCTGCTTTCTTTTCATATTTGTTGTATTTTTTAATTTTAGTTTCATCTCTGTGCCGACATTCCCCATATCATTTGTTGTTTTATGTAGGTTTATAGATAATTTAAAGTCCAATATAGATGCAGTTTTGAGTGTTTGTCTTATAGAACGAGACGTCGGTCTGAACCCTAGAGTCATGCAGAATTAAGTATCGATATACAGTGGGTGTACCCAGGAAATAAGCTACTGGTATACAGCTTTAAAATACATCCGCCTGGATGATGTTGAGTGGATTCCAGGCCAAAGCGAGGCTGTCACTACCACGTGCCTCACGAGCCGTTCTGAAGGTATGTCATGAACCCATGGATGTCCACTTATGTAGTTGTAAAATAGTTACATCACTATTGGAATAGTACAACAAGAGTATGAATATCTTCACGTCACCCTGGGTTGATAGTCATCATGAAAGCAGCCTTAGATATTCCTTGTTTTAATAATAGTCGAGAGGAACCCTTATTCCCCTGGTCCTGGGAATTAGTAGCTTGTCCTGCTTGAATGAGACTAACTGTTTACTTTTCATATTTTCTATCGGTTTTATTCAGTTGCAATTTATTGCAAAATCGAAGCATATTGAACTTGTATTATAATCCTCACATGCTTCTAGTCAATGAGGGGAGCGGTAGGGTAGCCTAGTGTTTAAAGCGTTCGCTCGTCACGCCGAAGACCCGGGTTCTATTCCCGACATGGGTAAAATGTGTGAAGCCCATTTCTGGTGTCCCCCGCCGTGATATTGCTGGGATATTGCGAAAAGCGGCGTAAAACCATACTCACTCACTCACTCACTCACTCACTCGTTACTCGTCACTCACTCACTCACTCACTCACTCACTCACTCACTCACTCACTCACTCACTCACTCACTCGTTACTCGTCCGTGGGCACATTACTGTAGTCTAGGGCTAGCGGGCTAACGTGAAATCCAAAGGCTGTTAGAGGCAACTAAATTATGAAAAGGGATACTAAAATCTTCAAACAAAAATGTCTGTATATATTTATGTAGACAAAGATAATTATCAACTGTTGAAATTTTTATCATTTAAGAATAGACTTTCACATTCTGTGAGTTCATTTAAGGATTGGAATTGTATTTGTTGACGTTCATCAGCTGATGAAGACAGTGCCTCCTCCCGTTTGCAAATTACATGATGCGCGAAGCATCTGTAGATGTACCAATTAAGGATGTCGCTTCTGCCTGAAGAGATCTGGGTGTGGGAGACTGGGATACTATTTGTCCGTTGAGAACGTGTGTGTGTGTGTGTGTGTGTGTGTTTGTGTGTTCATGTGTTCATGTGCATTTGTGTGTGTATGTATAATGGTGTATCTGTGTTTGTGTATGAGTGTGTTTGTGTGTTCATGTGTATTTGTGTGTGTATGTATAATGGTGTATCTGTGTTTGTGTATGAGTGTGTTTGTGTTTTCGTGCACGCATGTTGTCTTTAACAGTCAGTACTCGCGCGTGGGCCAGACAAACCTGTGGCTGTGTGAATGAGCAACCGTTCAAGTCATCGTTGTGAACATTGACACACAATCAACAAAATGACACGTAATCTACCAAATCGCACAGTATCACGATTATTACAAACCCATCGACATTTCAATTGTTTCTGACGAGCTTGAATCCCCCCCCCCCCCCCCC